ACCGTGTTTCTCATATAATAAGGCCGAGTCTTATTTTTTTTTGAGCCTCGAAAAAATGGCTAGGTCATCTTTTCGGGGGTGACTTAATTCCCCCCCCCTTGCATCTTCAGGTGGGCGGGTGGTGACAGCTTGGATGTTGACCTCGGCGTTGGTGGGGCACTTCGTATCGGGGTCAATGCAGGCAGCACCATATCCGGGTGTGCAACAAAAGTACTTCCTAACAGCAAGCCCCCCCACCATTCCCCCCCATTTCACGTTTTAATATAGGCCTTAATTTGGGAGGAGGGGCTTAAGTTCATTTCATGCCTATAAAACATGCTGGGACTTCCTATTGGGGGAGGCCGTATTGTTGGAGAAACAGGGTATATATATATATATATATATACATACATACATACACACACATACATACATACATACATACATACATACATACTTATATATATATCTGTCTATTTGCCTCTAGCTGTAGCTCTCCCTTAAGTCTAGCCTACAGTTCTGGGATTCTGTATCTGCTATCCTTGTTATAGTAGTTCTCAGCCCTCCTTGTCTTTTCAAGATTGCTCAAGGAAGGCTGACAGCTTTTTAAAAGAGCCCAATCCCAGCATATCCCTCAACTGCATAAGTTAAGATGACACTATTCACTGAAAAAACACTTTAGGAGCTGAGGTTAGGTTATTTTAATCAGCAGGAAAGACCTTTTCAATTATCTGTTCTGCCAGATGGTTAACCATCTGATGCACCTAGTTGGAAATGACAAGGTGAGCGAGGTCTGGTGTCTTCATATTTGTGTTTGATCATATGCATGTATGCCTGCCCTTGATTACCTGACCTCCAGTTAGATGTCGGATCTTGAAAAAAACTTTCATCTGTCTTGATATTAAAGTTTAACTTCATGTATCAGTTTGCCCTGAGCAGTCTGAATTTAACTCAGGTTAGGAAAATAATTACTCTAAAAATAGTGGTTTCCCTAAACAAAAATCACTTTTCTTAAAAAAAAAAAAAAGTCCAACATGAATATTAAAAATCTTACAGAATAAAGTTAGAAGTTTATCTAGCTATCTGATTCCAAAATGGGGCATCTCTACATTGCCCAAGTCCAGTGCCAATACAGACTGTAGTAAACAATTTATTATAAATGCAAACCGAGGAGGAGAAGAAAAAAATATGAACCTTTCTTCTTTTTTACATTTTTATATGTTGATTTTACAGACATGAATTTATTTTAAAAATCTGTACTTCAGCAATATAAGCCATTACAGGCACTATAGTATAAGAATAAACATAAGCAGAGTTTTAATTGTGAAAGAATGTCTGACCCATTATCTTCAATGTATTGTAATAAAAGAAAAATAATTTTACATTGATATGCAATGTTTCCATTTATTATAGTGTAGTATGTTACTATTCAGTGCTGTTAACAAGCATAAATGCAAAATAATTTATCAAGCACATCCCCAATGCACATTTCTAAATAGATGGTACCCATAACTGTTGAGCCATATCAAAATGGAATCCATCAGTCATAAATAAAATGAATGCACATATGAATTCTGTATTAGCTTTAACGTGTCATATTCTTGAGGTTACTTTAGACTGCACATCCTTAGTTTATTAGTCTCTAGTGTATTCTGCCTAATAATAATTTCGATCCTCTTCATTCTCTCCTACCTTCCAGAAATATAAAGATCTTCCAGAGGCCATGAACAGTCAGCCCACATCAAGATTTGATTGAAAGGAGAAGGATAACTAAGTGGAACTTTCACTTTCCTGGAGAGATGAAGCTTGGCAAACAGCCAGCAAACAGTGGTATGCTATGAACCACTGGTGCATGGTGCAAACCATTGAATGTGCAAAGGAAAGCCAAAATGGATAGATGACAATAGGTTTAGATGCACCCTAATAAATACAAAGCATACTGCTGCCTCTTAGGATTTCTGCTACCATTCCCCCCCCCCCCCCCCTCCGGCAATTAAATATAACTATATTTTTTGTAAAAGTCTGGACAGGGAAATGAGAGCGTGACTATATCAAATATATGAATTAAGGCTTTCCAGGGTGAAAAGTTTACAAAATGAATCTTTTTTTTTGTCATGCCCTTTCCACCCTTTCAGCCGTCATTGAATATTTTAACTGATTTTGCCCCATGAAAATATTGTTTCTATTCATCTATAAACTGGTAATAAAGTAATAAATGCCTTTTGCTATATGGTAGCAGACTCAGAAGCATATTAAGCATCGAAAGAAAAGTTACACACTTTAGAGACAAATTCAGGATGTACGGATTAGATTAGAAGTAATAGATTTTATAAGCATAGCCTTGTCTTACAAAACATAGTTCCTTCTTAATCCTCTAGCCAGGCTCTAACAGAATTTTTACAGAAGATGGGAAGATAATATTGACTTTAGGACTTTTAAGCAGGGCAGACAATATGCTTTCTTCCATACCCTTCCATTCACAAAACTTACCCCTGGCTAAAGTCCACAATCCTACCCAGAAAAAAAAATCCTAATTGCTGTTCAAGGAGGCCCCAAATGACTATCCAGGGAGCAGCAGCCTCTTGGAGCGAAGATAACAAGCCAGCCAAACCCAAATACTTGATCTGATACATGTTGGCACACAATCTGATTGTTTGCCCCAATTTTTTCTTATTTAAAAAAAAAAAATACGTTATTTTTCTTTTAATTACATATTCTTTTCTATACGGTGCCAGTAAAATTGGGCTTATTGCCAGCTAATTGACACCTTAAAGGAATTACTTCCCTGTAAAGTCATTAGATCTGGGCTCTAACATTTGCCTAGTTGAGCCTCTATCCCAAGTGCTTTCCTTTATCAAACAACACCATCGGACTAAAACTGAACTTTGTGCAGATAACTAAGAGATATAACACACTAATTTTGGATAGTCAAAAAGAAGAATTGGCCTTTCTACTTTCACTTCTTCAGAAATATCCGTGTATAGTAGAGCTTGATCGTTTTTTGGATGGAAGCCTCTGTTGAGTCTCTTTGAATGATATGGTAGGAACTAGACTCTAACAATTGAGCTACAACTTTAGGGGACACACAGTATTTAGAGCTTTTTCTGATGCTTCACAATGTCAATTAAGCCTTAATTTATAGTATGTGGAAGCTTTTTTTTTTTTTAACCCAAAGTGTGATTCCTTCTTTCCCCTCCTCATCCAGTGGTATTTGTTTATTATTAAACATCATATTTCCTATTATTTTCAGTTGGTTTACAGCAATATGAACAGATATTAAAGGCTTCTTTTTTGTTTTATTTTCCCAGTCTTCATTTTACCAGATTACTGGATCTGGGCTTCAAAAGTTGGTCTTTGGATGGCAGGAATGAGTTTTCTATAGGTCGTTCCTGCCTTCTACTGGTCTAGGGATTTGCTGCAGAATCTATTACTTTCAAATGATATTTTAATAATACTTAATATCAACTGGCCATTGAAACTTTTGTAAGAGACATGGAGCTATGTATTCTGGCTCTATATCACAACCCTGGATCTTTCTCAGATTAACAAAATATCGATTTCTTGAACATGAGAATTTTATGCTTGATCTATACCTAGCTCAGATAAATAAATATACATAAAACTCTTTCCTTCTGTAGAAATTTAGCACCCACCCATCTTCTAGAAGAATGAAATACTCTAGGAAATATTAAAAAGACAGAATATTATATTTCCCTGTATGAGACGAGGAGAAACATGTTTTAAAGACAAAGCAGCTCCCTGTCCCATCCCTGCCTTCAGCTCCAGGGTGATGGGATTAAGACATGGCCCTCAGGATATGATAGGATTAGCCCTCTACCCATCTCACTACATTGCAAAATCACCTGGGAACATTACATCACCCAGCAAGATTCAACCAAGCCTGGGACTCAAGACAACTGACAAAGTTACCCCTGCATGGCCCCATGGGAGTCTGACAACCAATCAGAATACATTTCTTTCACAGGAACAGGAAGCAAATTCAAAGCCCAAGAGAGGGTATAAATCTCTCTCTCTCACCCATGTGCTCGATTGCCCAGGACTTCAAACCATGTTGTACTGTCCACCATTAAACCATCTTTCCAAATATCCTCCATGTTTCCGTGTCTTTCTCCCCACTTGGAACTGAACCCAGATGGACATTTCTTCCAACACTTCATAAAACTCTTTACCTCTTTCCTGGACATTCGGGATTAGGTTAAGAATTAAGAAATTTGAAACACGATATTTGGGGATCTTGGGACCACATTCAGCATACTGTGACTCTGCTTATGATCTTACTTCAGCTCTCCTTTGCTTTATAGTTCTACAAAAACTATAATGTGAGGACTGTTTACTTTCTCATCATTGCCATAACTGCTAGTAGCCACTAAATGGGGCAATCACTAAATGAGGGCTACCTGTATTTGAAAAAAATAGTATTACATCAAATTTACCTAGTTCAAAGAACTGATAATTTGTATAACTTAGATACAAATTGCAAGTACAACTTTTGTTAATGGTAGCTTGGAAACTAGTACAGAAGACAATAGATACTACAATCTATGCTGGCTCATTTGCACTTCTTTTTGCAAATTGTAATATGTATGTTTTTTTAAGTTTGCAAAGTTTTTGCCACAACTAATTAAAATTGCTATGCTGGAGTCAGAGGAGTTAATTGCCACAGGTGCTTTTCCACTGGATGTAATTAAAGGATTTGGTCACAGAGACACTTGTTCCATGGAGATTACTTTACTAGTGCTCCATTTCTGAGGAAATAAGGGTCCCTGCATGCCTTACAATTGTCAAAGAAGCTGCTTCTGGGAGAATTGTTCTAGGAGAATTGTTTTTCTATAGCTGAGCACCAACATGGGACCTCAGCACAATTACTGTCAAAAATAAAAGTAGATTTTAGTATTACAGCTTGTATTGCAGATATATTCTTTTCCTATGTGGCAGTCTGCTGGGCTTCGGTTCAAATTAAAATATACAGGTTAATTATTTATGCATGCGGGTGTGCGTCTATCATTTATTTTTGAATAATTTGTTTTGCTTCTAAAATTAACATTCTAAATTTTCAATCATTTAGCATTCTAGGATGAAGTGGCTATTTAACAGGTAACAGATCATCAGAGTTGGAAGGGACCTTGTAGGCCATCTAGTCCAACCCTCCACCCAAGCGGGAGACCCTACACCATTTCTGACAGATGGCAGTCCAATCTCTTCTTGAAAGGCTCAAGTGATGGCGCTCCCAGATCTTCCGAGGGCAAGCTGTTCCATTGGTTGATCATTCTCACTGTCAGAAAATTTCTTCTTATTTCCAGGTTAAATCTCTCCTTGTTCAGTTTCCATCCATTATTCCTTATCTGGCCTACAGGCGCTTTAGAAATTAACTTGACCCCTCCCTCAAATATTGGAAGACTGCTATCATGTCTCCCCTGGTCCTTCTCTTTACTAGACTATTCACTATTTGGCTGTAAAAACTGAAAATAATATTCATGGCAAAGGCAATTGTAATATTCAAACCTTGCATACCAAAGTAAAAAAAAAAGCTTAATCTAATCAACATCTTCAATATTTTACCAAGTTCATGTTCTTCTCTTCTAGAATAAAAAAAAATAGGGACATACTTTTTATCCCCGAATAGAGATGTTTTCAGCAAATTAAATTCTGTGTCAAATTATGTTAATGAAAGGGAAATTCCTGAACAATACCACCCAGATAACCCCCCCCCCCATTTATTTTGTGTACTAAGGTCAATTCTACAATCTTTAAGAATTTCTATGCTGTGATTATAAATCCCAACACAGGACCTTCAAAAAAAATAAAAATGTCAGTAAAATCACTGTGATCAAAGCCTTACATGCAATATCAATGTATGCAAAATGTGCAGGGCTTTGATCACGATGATGTCACCGTCACTTTTTTTTTTTTTTAGTCCTATCCAACAGACACTGCTGAATCCCAGGATGCTTTCTTTCAAGTCAGTTTGCATTCTGTCTCAGGGTTGCCATCTGGCCGTTTTTCCGACCAAATTCGAGAAATCTGGCCATATTTCTATCTGCTTGGCCGTGAAAAAATGATGTCTCCGGCCAAATAAATTTGGCCGGAAATTTGGCCGTACGAAAGTTGCTTGGCCGTGAAATCGGCCAGATGGCAACCCAGCCGCTCTCCTTCCCTCGCGCATGCGCGTCACCATGAGCAAAAGGAGGACAAGCGCATCCTCTGGCACTGTCCTTCCCTCGTGCATGCGCGTCACCATGAGCAAAAGGAGAACAAGCGGGTCCTCTGATGCTCTCCTTTCCTCGTGCATGAGCAAAAAATAATTTGGCCGAATTTGGCCGTATTTTGACTTGAGTTTGGCTGCAGAGCCAAACTGCGATCTGGCAACCCTGTTCTGTCTTTTATATCTGAGTTAGAAAGCCACAAATGAGTCATTACAAATTTGGAACAGACAATCTAGAAACAAAATGGCAAAGGGACAGCTAAAAACCTCAACAACGCACAAGCATACATAAAATGCAAATGTCAACCTTGCAAGGCAGTCCAAACTATAAGGACACCGAAAAAAATCATCTCTATTTTTACTGTAAGGATACATTAACAGAATCTTCATTTACTGTTATTTTAATTCAGCTTTCCCAGTCTACCAGTAATATGGGTAATAGGGAAACCATAAATTCTCAAATTTCTTAATCACGATGAATTCTGGGAACTACAAATGAAAGAGATCAAGAACGTACAGGTTGGGATCCATTGCTCTAACAAGATTGTATCAATCACCACTCTATTCCAATGTTTTTAAACTTTAGGAAATTGAAAAGATGTGGATTTTAACTTGGAAGCCTATAGATCTTGAAGTTTCTAAGGTTCTAGATCAGGGATGTCAAACTCGAGGTCTGCGGACCAGATCCGGCCCATGTGGTGCTTAAATCTGGCCTGCAGGGCTGGGCTGGAAATAGCAAAGGACTGGCCCACAGTGCGTCTGCTGGCCAAAATACCCCATTTTGGCCAGCAAAATGCTGCAGGAGGCCATCCAGGCTGAAAACGGGGTGTGTGGGGGCCATGCACATGCCCCAAGCCTCGTTTTGGCCGGCACAGTGCTGCAGAAGGCTGTCCAAGCAAAAATGGGTCACGGGGGCACGCATGGCCCCGTGTGCCCTGTTTTGGCCAGCAGGGTGCTGCAGAAGACGTCCATCCTGTCTCTCCCTCCTGACCTGCCCGCAGAGGAGAACTACAATGCTGATCTGGCCCTCGAAGAAATCCAGTTTGACATCCCTGTTAGATGGCCTAAACATGGGAGAGGGAGTCAGGATGGATGAGTGGGTAGGTGGAGGGTACTGAATAATGAAGTTGGAAGAGACCTTAGAAGTCTTCTAATCCAATCCCCTGTTCAAGGAGGAGAACTTACACCATTTCAGACATATGGTTGTCCAGTCTCTTCTTAAAAATCTCCAGTGATGGAACATCCACAACTTCTGGAAGCAAGCTGTTCCACTGTTAATTGCTCTCGCTGTCCAGAAATTTCTCTTTAGATCTCGGTTGGTTCTCTCCTTGATTAGTTTCCACCTATTACCATACTTGGTGTCCTGCCTTCAGGTGCTTTGGAGAAAAGATGGACCCCCTTTTCTTTGTGGCTGCCCAGAGGTAGTATTCAGCAGGTTCTGACCAGTTCTGGAGAACTGGTAGTGGAAATTTTGAGTAGTTTGGAAAACAGGCAAATACCACCTCTGACTGGAGATTTTACAGTATCCTTCCCCTGCCATGCCCAACCAGCCATGCCCACAAAACTGGTAGTAAAAAAATTTGAATCCCACCACTGTGGCAGCCCCTGAAATATTGGAACACTGCTATCATATAATCTCTAATTCTTCTTTTCATTAACCAGACATATCCAATTCTTGCAACTTTTCTTCATATGTTTTAGCCTCCAGACCCCTAAACATCTCTGTTGCTGTTCTCTGCACTCTTTCTAGACTCTTACCATTTTTTATATATCATTGTGACAAAAACTGAATGCAATAATCCAAGTGTGACCTTACCAAGGTATTATAAAGTGATATTAACATTTCATGTGATCTTGATTCTATCCCTCTGTTAATACAGCCTAAGACTGTGTTGATTCTTTGGTGGTGTAGCACACTGCTGGCTCATATTTTAGTAATTATCCGCTAAGATTCCTAGATCCCTATCACAGTTACTACTATTGAGCCAGGTATCATCTACAGTCATGTGAAAAAAAAAGTACATCCTTTGAGTTTTATGGTTTTAAGAAACATCTGGTTCTTAATAGTTCTTAAAAGTAGATAAATACAACCTCAGATTTCTATCTTACCAAGAAGTAGGTTGGCCTACTTTGTTGAAAGTCTTACTGAAGTCCAAGTATACTAATAGAAATAGAATAGAAATAGAATCCTTTATTGGCCAAGTGTGATTGGACACACAAGGAATTTGTCTCTAGTGCATAAGCTCTCAGTGCACATACAAGCAATAAGTGGTCAGTCATGTTCTTAGTCATCATAAAAGCACATTCATCATAAATCATAAAATATAGCACTTAGTGATAGTTATAGAATACTAAATAAGCAATCAATATAAATCATACTAGGATACTAGCAGAGTGGTGGCATGGGGAGAAAAACTGTCCTTGTGTCTAGTTGTTCTGGCATGCAATGCCCTATAGTGTCGTTTTGAGTTGAAACAGTTTAGGTCCAGATATTTTCACAGCCCTCTTTCTGGCTTGTACATTATACAGGTCCTCAATGGAAGGCAGGTTGGTAGCAATTATTTTTTCTGCAGTTCTAATTATCTGTTGAAGTCTGTGTCTGGCTTGTTTGGTTGCAGTGCCAAACCAGAAGTTATAGAGGTGCAGATGGCAGACACAATAATTCCTCTACAGAATTGTATCAGAAGCTCCTTGGGCAGCCTGGGCTTTCTGAGTTGTCTACAGCATTTCATTGGTCCACTAATGTAGTCATTTTGTCAAAGAATGCAATAGTATTTGTTTGGTGTGATCTGTTTTTGACAAACCAGGTTGGTTTCTGATTATAACTTGGGGTACTGGATCAGAGGTGGTATTCAGCAGATTCTGACCAGTTCTGGAGAACCGGTAGCGGAA